AGGCTTCCTTGTAGTTTACCAAGTGGAGAGTGTAGATGTGGGGAAGTTGGGAAAGAAAATTCCAGGAAGGAGGGAGGACATTTAGAGGTGGTACCAGAAATCCTTCAAGGGATGGGAAGTTGTGGGTAAAGGTAAGATTRAGAGGACACAATTCTCTCCTCTAATCAAGGGAATTTTATCTTGCAGGTATTTGGAAATCACATGAGAACTAGAAAATTGCATAAATCTTAACATAACTCTTAATTCACTCAATTTGCTAATGTTTTCCCTGCCACTTTYGAAGAAATATTCCCCTTTGGGAAAGTAATTTAAAATTAGGCTCCTAGAATTCAAGGGTAATATTATAGATACTTATCCATATTTTTAAAATGAAGGATTTGGAAATTCATTTTGGGAGATTTATTTTTAATTTTTTTTTTCATTTAGTAAAAAACATCGTTTGGGGTTGTGGCTCAGGCGTAGATTCCTTGCCTAGCACATGTGAAGCACTGGGTTCAATCCTCCAGCACCACATTAAAAATAAACAAATAAAGTTGTGTCCATGTACAACTTAAAATATATTTTTTAAAAAGACATTGCCGGGTATATTTTCCCATCATAATCAGTTTTGGATTAATGGAGTTGCATCTGATCTTTGAACACGGCAATATAAATAAGTACAAATAGGTCATTTTCACTCTCTTCGCCCAACAGCTTTTGAAGACCCTTGAATATCAGAGTGGCTGAAAGCAAGAGACCTTTGAGAAATTGTGAAATTCACAAAGACAATCCTCAAAGACATCTCAGTTGAAAGCTAATAAATTCTTACTGTATAGCTTTTTAAATTTTGCTTAATGCTAAAATAGTTCTTCCAAAGTGTTTTTTTTTTAATTATAAAGCTTCAAGGTAACATTAAAAATTGAGAATCTCATGGTCTATGTATATTTGACCCTTGGCATGCTAGAATATGGTTTTTGACAATATTTGTTTCAGTGATACTTCTGCAAATTTTTTTTTTTATTATACCAGTGGGCAGATGAGTTCCTGGGGTGAATACTTCATTCAAGTCCTTTTACTGCAAATGTTGCCCATTAATTCTATAGCTACCGAGTTTCCACACAAAGGCTTTTAAATATGCACACGTTCTTATGTAAGTACAGGTGTTTGTGTATATATATATTTCTAGATCAATCCCCTTGTCTAAATAAATGTACAATGTATGTAAAGATATTTAAGACATATATTTAAATTAATGCAATGGGGAAAACACTTGCTATATAAAGAGACTTTTAATTTCCATAATAAAAAGTTAGAACTTTGGTGGATTAAAACTCCTGATAGAACTCTTGCAACTAAGTAACAAAATAATGATAATGGCAATAGTAATGAGAAACAAAAGCAAAAAAAAAAAAAAAAAAAAAGAAGGGGGGAGAAACAAGGAGCATATGTTGTACACAGTTTTAGGTTAAAACAGAAGAGTAATGTGGCCAGCTTCAGGAGATAATAGGGTCTTAGTTCTGGTGAAGACCCAGGAGAGTCACCCCAGGAGAGTCACCGGTGCTGAAGTGCCCAGATGGTCCAATGACAAGCCATAGTCAACATGAGCAAGTCTGCAAACACAGATCCTCTCTAGGAACACATCTTTTTCTTATGCTTGGAGTATAGTCACACATTGTGTTGATGARCCTCCGTGGAATTAAAATGAAACAAGCCTGATGAAAATAAAGTTGAGTTGATTAAACACTCTGAACTCTGACAATGACAAGTGATCAGGTCTCACAGCCTTTAACTGGGAACTGCTAACAGGGATGCTGAGCAATAATGACTGTTGAAGCAAATTCGGGATTTTTATTTACAGATGTTCCATAGACTCTTGAGCCCTTTATATGCATTAATTTATGCAMTTTTCACAGCAGCTCTATGAGGCATTTAACACTATTATCTCCATCCTATACATGATAAAATCGAATCACAGAAATATWTTTTTTTTAAATAACATGTCTGGTTTCTTACAGATTTTAAGTTGAGGAGACAGACATCAGGCCTTGGAAAAAAAAACTGGTACCACTAACAATTAAATGCACCCAAATTAATCTTTACCCAAAGTAAAGCCTATAGAAACATGCACTATTTTAAAAGAATTCAGTTTTATATTCTATACTTGTAGAACTAGAGTTTTTTTTTTTCCCCCATTCACCTCAAATAAATCAGTATTAAGGATGCAATAAAGGTAATCCTTCTTCAGAGAGTAGAAAGTCTGACTCATGAAAGCCATTATCCAAAGAAGTATAAAAGGTATAATTTAAATAATTTAAGAAGGGATTACCATTTACAAGTTGGAAAAGGAACCTCAGACTTTCTGAGGCCACTAGTCAAAGTATTGTTGCTGCCAAAGGACATAATACATTTCTGGAAATTATCAGGGAAGATTTAGAAACAAAATAAGAAAGTGGGTCCCTCTTAAAGTACAAACATAATATCCTAATAACAGGAGTCTTATTATATTAAAGAAAAAAATGGGATGAGGGCTAAGGAAGGAAGGAAGAGGCACTGTCTCACTCACCTAAGACTTAACTCCCAAGGAGACGGTCAGATTCTTTCCCATGATGCACTGGATTCCTCATGACTCTTTAGACATGAGCTGGGGAACATGGAAACAGATCTGGACAGAAATGAAAGTTCTACATGTGGCCAATTCCATTTATTGGAACACAGTGCACAGAGGGATGCCAAGACCTTTTCTTCCTTGAGGATGATACTTGGGAAATGAAGCATGACTTCTGTTGAGGACTAGGGCAATAATTGCACTTAGTGGTTTAACTGCTACCTGGCTTTGAATACCAAATCTATGACCTGGGGAAAGCCACTTAACCATTCTGAATTTCAATTCCCTCACTTACAAAATAGGGGAAAATTTCAACTACTTCATAAGGTTAGTGTGAGGATTAAGTGCAATCATCTATGTAAAATGGAAGGGTTTTTTTATGAGCACCAAACACTAAAAGAAATTTTTTTCTTTGGATAAGATTACATGTGAATAGAAATTTCTGACTTTTGGGAGTAATGAATACGTTTGTTGTCTTGACAGTGATGATGGGTATACAGGTATTGTGAACATATTAAAATTTACAAATTCTATACTATGGATATGTGTAGTTGGTTTTGTGTCAGTTGAATCAATGTAGCTGTTAAAACAAAACAAAAATCAGTGTCTATGACTTTGTGTGCATTTGTAAATTTAGTTGCTAGATATTTMTTAGCTAATAGAGGCACAGGACATGATATCGCACCTCAGAAGAATTGGACCTAGTTCTTTAGGGCAGGAAATGAAAGGTACTTATAGGTTCACGTTTTTTGGGAAATTTGTACTTTTATCAATGATGAAGTTATACATTAGCACGACTTCCCATTGAATGGACAGCTGTATTATAAAGTGCTGGGATAGAAAATTCTACAGAAATGAATGATTTTGCATAGTATATATAATTTTGAAATCTCACTAGAAATATTCTTGCTCATGAAATACTGAGATCCAGTGATTGGATTTAACTGTTTCATTTGGAGTGAGAATTTACATCAATTCTAATGTAAAGGCAGTAGCTTTCCACAGACATTCTATGATGTCCTCTTTATCTTGTGTGATATCTGTAGTTTCACAAAATCATGGAAGTCAGAGCTTTAATAACTCTGACTTTTTAGGGCATTAATTGCAATTAATTTTCAGCTAAAATTGTTTCTCAGTAAAGAAAGGAGTGATTCATTTTTGTTTCCAAACTGTAAACTTACAAAATAATATTGGGCTTATTCAAGCCAATAAATGAACAAATTAACCTGTCCAGTGTCTTAATGTGTTGACAAAGTCATTAAGCCAATATAGCTTTCTTGTACAGTCTAATAGTGATATGGAGGGAGACACCAATCTCCAAGAATAATTTGCCCTATTGGATGTTTAAGATTCATCCTATGTTTTCTCTGATAYGCGGATGCAAATTCACACTAAAGAGGAAGGAGAATTGAGGTGTTTTGGACTAGGCCCAGGAGAATGAAGGGAGAGGGGGCATGGGGGTAAGAATGATAGTAGAATGAATTGGACATTATTACTGTATGTGCATATGATTACATAACCTATGTGATTCTACACAGGTACAACCAGATGAATAAGAAGATATATTCCATTGATGTATGATATGTCAAAATGTATTCTACTGTCATTTATAACTAATTAGAACAAATAAAAAACTTGAAAAGAAAGAAAAGATTCATCATTCATCCTTTCTCACTGTCATTTTTGTAAGACAAGGTCTGACACACTTTAGTTTTGATCATTTCCTCTTAGGAAATCARTTTACTGAAGTCCGACAGGACCTCCTAACGAATCTATGAGTCATGAGTTATAGTCATGTAATTTGGCTATGTTTTATCAAGTGTGTCCACTTAATATTCTAATAATTGTTCTCCCTGGGATTCTGTCTAGATTTTACTGGAAAATTGCAGTGAAAAGAGTGGGGTGGAGGATCAACTTTTAGCCTTTGTGGAATTGCAAAAGATTGATGAGAAAACACAGCTAATTTGATTGCAATTAGCAAAATCTTTCCCGTTTTTTAGAAAGCAGCTCCCAAGCATCTACTTTGAAAATTGAACCCAGCAGTTTCTACAGTGAAAATACAGTTGCCTTGAGGGAGAAATATTCATCCACACACAAATACAGATTATGGATGTCTCTAACTTAACTGTAAAAGTTGGTGCTTGCCTCTTTTAAAGCGAGCTCACATTGTACTTCAACAGACTGTTTTTTCAACAACATCTATGATATCCTTTTATGGTCTGCCAGTACTTTTTTGAAGCCCACTTAGAACAGCAGCCAACAAAATTGAGACTAAAATATATTGAGGCCAAATATTTCTTCAGAACCAAGATGTTACTTCAAAAGATCTTCATTACAAAGCACTACTGTGACTCAAATAATCGCTTATTTTTTAAGGGGGATTTGCTAACATGGAATTGGTTTCTTATCTTCTCAGCCCCCAGTGAGCCTTTACTGTGCAAGTTCGCAGATGGAGGACAAAAGAAGCGACAGAATCAAAGCAAATATACCCAGAATGGGAGGCCTTGGCCCAGAGAAGGAGAGGTGAGTCCTGACTGAAAACCTTTGCTCAGAAATTTGGCAACAAATATCTCTCAGAAGATATCTGGGGCCATGATGGAATTTGGTCCCATGGAAAATCAAATGACTTCAAAGGGGCAAAGAAACAGGCCTACATTTCACATATCCAGAATAAAATTATTTGAGGAAGAACATAGGACTTAAAAACCAGCTTTGGTTCTGTACCGCATTAACAGTTCTGTCTTTAACCATACTTGAACCTGAAAAGAGCTCATTGGAAGACTTAAGAATAGGTTAGTCATTATAAAATAGTTATAAAAGAATGGTATGATTATTTAAAAAATTAGTTTCACTGAAATCCATATTAAAGAATTGAATGTGTATTGACAAAGGCAAGCAAAAAATTAGGATTTATTTCATCCTGTCTACGTGCACAGGTACATGTGTTCGTAAACGCACTGCTGCTGCTCTGTTTATGTATATGTCAATTTAAAATATGGCATTTCTGTTGGTCAAGAAGGAGGAAGTAAATTTGATGCACTCATGGTTCTGTTCTTCACAAGTGAGGGGAAGAGAAAGCTCTTTCCAGTTAACCATGCATTGACCCTTCTGATAGAAATCGCCAGAGAGGCAAGCTCTCTGGATCCAGTGTCACATGGGGATAGATTCCTTTTGGTTACTTTATTTCTGAAAGAAGACAAGGAAAAGGTGTCCAGGCTTCCATGAGGGTTTTGTTTTGTTTTGTTTTGTTTTTGTTTTTGTTTTCATGTGAGATGGAATGGAGTTGTTTAAATGACTTGAATAAATGCCATTTTGGCCAAGGCCATAGCTTCAACAGGAGAGATTTATTTTGTATTTCTAATTCAAAACACCTACTTCATCCATTCATTACTGAAGAGTCAGTGCATTTGACGTGGCATTTTATACTTTCAACACTGAGAGAGTAGTTGTAAAAAAGAGAGGAAACTGGGATTTTTCTTAGCAAGCCTTTTAACCGATTTTCAGTTTCTCGGCTTGCTATCTGTTTCCATGAAGGTCTCAAACCCTTTTAAAAGTGTATAGTTATGTTCAAGGACCTACAGAAACTACCACTCTTTACAATAAGGCATGAAATACAGAATTGGTTACTGAGCCTCAGAAGCTAATAGAAAAAGGAAAGAGTTTTCTTATTGTCCATTTCAGAAAGGAAGTTTATGTTGTATTTGTAAAAAGATGTGGGAGAATGATCCAGGTGTCCTCGTCATGGAGTTGAGTGTTTTACAGGTAACCTTCTTCCCAGAAGGAGAGCAGATACTTGTGACAGCACTTACTACATCCTTCCCAGACCAAACATCCATAGTCAGAATGACTCACTTGACCTTTAAAATGTGGTTGGATAAAATATCAAATTAAAGGTAACTTTGGATCATAGATTATAACCCCAAAGTCAAGACTCAATGAAGTACCTTAGCTCTAATGACTGAAACTTCAGTTCCTGCCTCCTCAAGTACCTGTACTATTACCTTCATCCTGTTGATAGTGATTGCAGAACAACACTTGACTGGGATCCATGTTTCTTGGAAACCAAATCAACAAACAGAAATGTAGACTTACAGCTCTCACCCTGCTATTATATATAGAACTAGGGGTTTTAGCTCCAGGGATGATGAACCACATGTACCACAGTGTGAATGCATTGTGGGGACAAATTTATAACCCAGAGCGCCTTAAAATATTTTAAATGTTGGCCTTAAAAGTATATTCCTAATACTTGTTTTCAAAATTCGTTTTTTTTAAGGACTATAGTTTTTCCTGTTGAATTATGAAAATCAAGAGGCCATAGTAAATTTATCAGTGATCAAAAAAAATATACTCCAGACTTTTAGAAAATTGTAAAGGAAGAGATCAGGAAAATAAATGGCAAGCATTAAAAATGTTTATCAAATACCTTGTTTGGGGGATGAGCATGTTAATCCATAGACCTAGATTGTGAATCTAGAAGTAGACACACTAAGGATGCTGGATCACTTTCCACTTCATTCTATAATTTTCATTTCTACCTTTTTATGCATTATACTTATTAGAGCAATCTAAAGGATATTAACAAAATATAACATAATTCAAATAATCCCACAAGCACTATGTAATTAACTTTTATGTTCCTGTAAATTCTAACTACATATTTCATGGGGATTCTAGTTGTTGTTGTTGCTTGTCCATAGTTCAACACTTCCGAAATGGAGTCTCCTCTTGTTGTGGGGGCAGGGAGTAACATACAAGAAGGTCTGCTTTTGCTCCTTTCAGTCACCTGGGGGTACTATTTACACTGTCTGCTTAAGCTTTGTGGCAACATTGATTACAATAAAAGCCCACCTCTAGAGGCTGGGAATATAGCCCAGTTGGAGGAGTGCTTGCTTAGCATGCACAAGGCTTTGGATTCAAACCTCAGCTTCACTGGAACTTGCCACAAATTAATTTCTAGTGGGTGATTTTTTTTTAACTGCATACTACAGTGGGCATTTTAACTTGATAAGAAGATCCTTCTGGGTGTTTATTTTTACTCATCTATTTTTCTTGGTTTAAAAGACAATGGTACACCTCTCCGTCATTGTTGTCTTATATAAGATAAAACAGTTGATTATTCTGAGTCAGAATTTGAGGTAATAGCACAGAAGACAATGTTTCTTTTTCCTCCCTCTTGAAAGGATAGTAGAAAACATAATCTGAAAAGGATTTCTGATAAATACTTAAAATAAAAAACCAGTGGATTGCAAGCATTTTAGAAGTACCATAAACATGAAAATTGATATGCTAATTACAAATTTAACTTATTATTTAAATCTGGAGTGTTTTGGGTAGCATTTTGATAGTTTTATTAGCATTTCTGGTGAAATGCATTTCTTTATGAAAAATATAACACTGAAAACTTTAAACACATAAATTGATCTAAATTACCAAGGTTTTGAAATTTAAATATATGCTAGTGGCCATAATTTTGCATAAGTGAAAAACACAGGGATATTTTGAAGTAATTAACTAATCTTTCAAAGATAAGTGGAACCCTGATAGAATGATCAAGAGATTGGGGCTCTTAGGCCCCTCTTCTCTGGTGTTCTATATTCAAATTATGAATTCCATTGCTTCTTTAAGCAGCAGTTTCAAATTCTTTGATCTCTGGATCCCTTTAGATGCTTAAAATTTTTATTCATTAATTTTTAAAAATAATAAAATAAACCCATCAGATGAAAACAAGAATAGTATGTTTTATGAAAAATAACTATATTTTTCAGAGTTGAAGTATTTTTTAGAAAAGAAATAATTAAATATTTTGCAAATTTAATGTCTGTCTCTGTAAAAGATGACTAAATTTGCATATCTGCTTCAGCATTCAACCTCTGGCTATATGATATTTTATTTTAAGCCTATTTAAAAATCTAGCTTCATCTAGACATGTTATTGAAAAAGAGGAACCTTTATGGATCTCCTTGAGAGATCTTGGGAAACCTCAGTTGTCAATTGTGCCTCCTCCAAAGCCTCCCATGGTCCAGAGAGAATAAGGCATGGGCTGGCACAGCAGGAGTATCCCCGGATCCTGCTGCATTAGGTTCTGATTAGCCAGCACCCTAGTGAAATATTTTTAATGTCACTACAAGTGCAAGAGTTGCCTCACTCTGTCATTGCTGTGACTCTCATGATCCTCAGAACCTAAAGACCTGAGGCTTTAGCCATGTGTTTTATTATATGTGAGCCCATATTTTGAGTTCCTACTTAGGTAAAATGATACTTGAATTGACCTTGATTGCTGCCCACCCCAACCCTGGCTGCACCCCCACCCCCCACCCCGAGATAACTGGTCTGGAACTGGGAATGCTTCAAACCAGTTTGGAAATATTTCAGGAATATAAAGAGGAGCTCTTTTTTGATTTCTCTTATGCTCCCAAAGAAGACATATTCAGTTTCTACGTAAAGCCACCAAATTGGACTCTATCCCAAATAAAAAAAGTTGATCAAAAAGCAAATTGCTATGAGCATTTCCCAGATGACCCAGAATAAGATCTGATTGATGGCAACTTGCACTCTCAGTAAAGATAATTATAAACTAAAATACACATTCATTTCACCGCTACCACCACCACCATCATGGCACATAAACACACTATAACTTGTGGCATGCATATTTTATAACCTGTTCAACTGTAATTGTAAAGCAGATTGGATCAAATCTAAGGATGGATAAGTTTCCACTGCAATGATGATATTCACTCAGATTTTGAAATGATATTGTGTTCACTTTTATTGCAACTTGCCCCTTTGGGTTTTCATAAGAATTTTCCAATATAAGTATATCCCAAGTTTCAATTTGCAGCATTTGGTACTCTCACCAAATGTTGAGATTGGACTTTTGTCCTTAAATAGTGCAAGAGACATAAACAAGCCATTTCTCACTGGTTCAAACCTCTGATGTAGCTTTCATAAAATCTTCCCAAGCCCTAGAGTAATTGAATTAGTAAATGTCATTGATAGCAATTGTTTCAGGAATTACATACTATTATTTCCATGAAATAATGTTTTGGCCATGGACGCAAACAAGAGACATAGCAATTGAACAAAGAATACCACAACAAAAGCTCAGATGTTTAGTGAAAAAATGGTCAAGATTTTATTAAAAGACCAAACCACTGTAATGATATTTTTTATCTTATTTATAGTTCCCTTTTAGAATCAATTGAAAAGCAATGCGAAACAACAAACATTTTCTCTGTTTGACACTCTGAAGATGTTTTTTCTTGCCGAGCGAGCTGGCTGAGCCCCGTTCCTGCCGCTCGCCGATCGCCGCTCGCCGATCACTGCCTGCGGCAGCTATGGGAACATTTAACAACGTTATCCACAAAGTTTTGGATATAACGTTGTGCTAATGCAACTAATGTAATATTGTGAATGATCAACACTAAGATTCCCAGAAGTAGTTTACAGATTATGTTGAAGAGAAAAATCAATTCAGATTTTCTTTAGGGGGAGAATGTAGTCTAGGAATGTTAAAGTTT